CAGGGCCACAATAATTTTTCAGAAAAAAGCTTATTTCTTCATTTTGTTAGATTTTCTGAAAAGAAATAAACTTGATGGAAGCCACACAATTTTTTTTTATTTATTTTTATAATTATAGAAATTCTAGCTTGATGCTGAGTATCAGAGGTTGCACAAAAGGCCACTAAGATACTTGGCAGGCAAATTTATCATCTGAAATCAAGCAGCAGGAAGCCAGTCTCACAAGTGGCTTTGACTCGGGGGTCTGCCATGAATTGCTAGATGAGCGTTCAGTGACTGGTATTCTATTGCATTTTTAATTACTGTTTTTAGTGCTGGTGAAAGGTGCTGATCAGAAGTTCTGGAGATCTCTTCCTAAAAAAAAAAGGAGTCAGGGGCATGCTAAATTCCTCTCAATATCCTTGAGAACAAGACATGTCTGACTTCTTGGGTAAGCAGGGGGAAATACAGCTGCATCTCTTTAGTAAGTATGAGAAAGTGCTCTTTAAGTGCCACATACAATTAATTCCCTGGATTCTCTACAGAGATGAAGAGAAATGGGGACATAGCGGACAGTACCTTGCCCATTCCAGGACTGATTTTGGACAACTCCTTTTAATGTCTGCTGTACAATAAATACAGGCCTGCTCTGGCATATTGGTCTGACAGTGGAAAGCAGTAAATACGTATGAGAGAGAACTTGTGTTAACTGACAGGATAACACAGCATGGATTTGAGGTGGTAGAACCATTTTGCTAAGCAGCAGTGGGAAGACCCTCCAGCACTGACAGAACTGTAACTGTGCAATCGATTGAGCCAAGAGCTTACCCTTGCTGCCGTTCATCCTTTTCAGTATGTCCTGAAAGACTTAAAACACCACTAACATGAGGAACTGACAAGTTCAAGAATTTAGGTTGTGTGAATTTACACACAGCAGCTGCATTTTTTCTACCACAAAAATTAGTTACCCAAAGAATCCAGCTACATCTTTACACAACCAACCTGCCACTACTGCCATCATGTTCAGACGGTAGAAAAGAGGATTTCCCCAAACGCCGTCCAGTTCCTAAGCAAAGCAAAAGGGACTCTGGGTGACAAGCAGCACTACATTACTTAGGTCGGCCTTGCAAGATTGTGTCAGTCTCAGAATACAGAGCTTCAGTTTAACATTAACAGTATTGTCAAGTGCTCACATTTTTGTTGTTCAGTAGAAACAGATGAGGGTGCACTAGATACTGACAACCATAGCCAGTTTAGGATTTCAGTGACTGTTGTATTTAACATTTTATACAAAACACAGACAAATGCCTACCATAAAAGGGCTGAGGAAAAGATGACTCTCCCCCTAATCTTACCAAAAATGTACTTGTTAAAGTGCCATCTGCAAGAGAACAGAAACAGACACACTCAGCTTTCTTCATTTACATTTAAAACAAGCACAAGAGCATCTGTGAATTCCAATATATTGGACTCCTCCCCTCACCTAGTCTCTGGCAGGCAGTGATCTACAGTCGAGCCTGATGCAGCTTTCTCATTGCAACACCAGGCAAAAATAGATCTTTTTACTATTATCCAGAACATTCAGGAGAGTAATTACAGCTAAGTTTTGAAAGGATCATTAACTTTGACTTATGAGAGGCAATGCCTCCCCCGTTAAGTACATTTCAAGGTTCCATAAGGAACAACCTGTATTATCAGTCTCTTTTCATATCATTCTTTGAAACCACTGTTTTCTTTCTAAATAGATTGTCAAAGCACTCAAATCCTTGCCTTTTAAACCCCTGCACACAGAAGTACAATTCCCATAGACGCAACCTACCACAGCCCATTTCATTTAGACAATTAACAGAGTTGGCATACTACACACTTAATTCGACATCCAACTTGTTTTCTGCAGGTTTTCACCTCACTAATGAGGTTTACGTGATCAAGATCTCCTGGTTGAAAGCCAATATGCTATCAACAGGTTCTCCACATAATAGTAGGAATCTACAGAAAGCTTGGTTTAAACACAACATAACAACCAAACAATAGCTTAGTATCTTGAATTAATCAACCGGAGAAGTGATACAGAACTACTCAAGTCAGAGAAAAATATTTCTGTCCCAGTCTTGTCTGTACCAACAACAGCATGTGATTTTCTGCTTTGATAACCTCACTGATGCTCAGACTTTTCCCTTATGTTACTTTATACTCAAGGGATATGAGGCACTTGAAAGCAGTTGCTCTGCATCCTCCAAGCACAAAATAATTGCAATCAAATATCAAAGTATTTATTTTCATAAACTTTGGAAAAAGTAACACTTCTGGGGATTTTACACCCAACATAATTGAATGTTAAGCAGGTGAACTATGATAAACTATATCTTCTGATTCACAGGCTACAGTGACAAGTCTCGGGGTTTTATTTTACCCTGAAAATAAACTTGAACCAGCAAGTAGACAGTTAGCTCCCTGCCACTGTGTCAGCAGGTGCTGGCAAAAGGGCACCAAAGCCTCTCACTTCCTGCTCTATATGGAAGTGCCATTTGCACTACAGAACATCTCACCCATGAGGATTTTCATGTCTTTTCAGTCATTAACCTTTCAAGTGACTTCTCTGAAAAGAAGCTATTTTAAGCAGCATTTCCCTGTTCCGAAACAGCCTCTAGTGATTTCAAATGTAATTTTGTATGAAGAATGACAATGGATTATGCCCAAAGCAATATGCTGTAGATCCAGAAGGTACCCCAACTAGCTAAACAAACAGGATATAGGCTTTATTTAGAATCCACTGGAGCCTACAAGATTCTTTCACTTGCCTTTGACAAGTTTGGGGTGAGCACCCAATTCCAGAAATGAATTTCAAGCAGGTTTATGGGTGGAAGGACTGACACTGGATTCTCTTCAGGTTCATAAAAGGATTGTTTTCCAACAGCAGCAAAAGCTACCTGGCTATTCAGACTACTAGCCCCCTTATGCATGTCTCTTATCATCATCTTAGCGTAAGAGATTTTATTCCTAGAGGAATACACCGCATTTGCCATTTAGTATAGCCTATGGAGTCTTTTAGTGACTTCACTTTCAACTAAATTATGTCTTTTTTAAAGCACAATGCTACAGTTGCAAAAGATGCATTCATCTTTTACTCATGACATCTATACAAGAATGAGACTTTGAAGCATTAAGGGGACTACAGAGAGTACTAATATTACAGGTAGTTCCCTCTTAGTAACACAGTATATTATGCATACCGTTTGTAATTAAACAGTACATGACAAGCCTGTGTACGTGTTTTTATATGAGTATCTAAAGCTGTGAATGCCATTACATGCTTCTGTTAAGAAAATCCTAATTTTCACTTCATTCTGCATAAGTATTTTCCAGTTTAAGATGAAGTGCTATTGTAAAAAGCGATAACCTAACTGTTTGGCTAACACTGTTCTGACCTCTAGATCAGATCTGTCTGCAGAACACACTACTCTCAGCACTGCTGCTAATAAGCAAAACTGACCTTCAAGTCAAATCAAGCTTTCTGTCAAAAATCCCACAACTGTACACAGAATGTCATCGACAAAACATGAGCTTGAACTGTGTTAGTCTCTTGGTTCTCCAATACTAAAATGGGTGAATGGAATAAAGCTGTCCCTAATGAATTCCTATCAAATTCACAAGGCAGTGCTTTTCTGAGCTCCATGTTGAGAAGCTGCCTGTAGAAGAATATTTCTGCATTTCCAGAATGACAAAACTTTTCAGATTCTGTTCTGTATTTGACAGCGCTTTCAGTGTCAGCTTCAGCTTCACTGTTTCACAGTAATCGCTTTTCCCAACTTGCCTTTCCTGCATAAACTGACAAGATTCAAGTTTGCCAGTGTCCTACTATTTATAATGCTGCCTCCAGTTGCAGGTGAATACTCATTAGGTAGAAATACAATTTTGATAGTTTCTGACATTTACATCAAAACTCAGCTGGTATACCCTTACAGACCAGCTACGGTTGTCATGTCTTCATTGGGAGAGTACTGCAGAGCATTCATCCAAGTAGCTATGCTATCAACGAAGATTTTTATCTTGCCTAATCCACTCAGCTTTGATTGAAAAGTATAACTGTAGAGCAATCCACTATTCAAAACAGAAACAGAAGCCCTTGGGCACATCCCCAAAAGATGAGAGGATGACAAGTGCTAAACCTTAGCCTCTATGGCACGGTTTCTTCCCTTTTAAATCCATCTTTGTGCATTACATTAGGGAATAATTTCTTTCAGAGAAACAGCTTTCATTTGGATAGCGGACCAGCTTTTCCAACTCATCTCGCTCATTCAACAAGACCTGACAGTACAAAGCAAATACACTTTGGAAAAAAAGATTGCTTTGCACTCCTTTCAAGAACTCCCTGGAACACAGGCCAAACGCAAAGAAGCTCCAAGGTACAGGCTAACCACAAAATCTTGCTCATATTATTTGCCAATCAAGCAAGCTACAAAGTGTGAAACCATTTTATTTTGGTTTAGATAGTAAGTCTTCCGAGGGGAAATCGTTTGATTGGAAGTGTCAATCCCAAGTCCATTACAATCACATTTTTTCAGGAGTCGTTTACCTCCTGGGAGCTTAAGTCATGCACGTATCTTCTTTCTGAAACCTATTACTGTTCTGTTAGCTAACACAACTGCAGGATACACACAAATTCAGTTATAATTTAAAAATAAGGACTACCATAGTAATAACTGCCTCTAGCATCAGAAAAGTGTAACGAAATTGTGCAACAAGTATTTGTACTTCACAGCACCAGAAAATTTTGCCCAGGTAACCAGGTATAGAGAGCCAAGGCAACAGTTAATTCTGGCAGGCCTTTACTGCCAGGGAGCCTGCAGTGCTACTGTGATTTGTATCAACGAATAGATCCTGCTTGGGCACATGGAAGTGAATCACATATCAAAAGTAAGAATTAGGGAGAAAAAACCTTACTCAATAGAAAGTTAGCCCAATATATAAAAAACATACAAATGTTTA